TAACTTCTTTAAGTTTATAAAAAATGGTTATTTACCATATAAGATACTATATATTATTATACTGTACATGATTCTTGAAATACCAAAAAACCAAATAATTACAGGTATATAAAGGCAAAACATTTTCATTATTTGTTAAATAGATTTTATTGTAAAAGAGTTTATAAAAGTTTTGAATCAAAATAACTAAACATGAATTCATTGAATGTGATTTGTTTATTTACAATTATTTTATCAGTTAATGCATTAAATTTTAGTAATGAAGATATAANGAAATACCAAAAAACCAAATAATTACAGGTATATAAAGGCAAAACATTTTCATTATTTGTTAAATATATTTTATTGTAAAAGAGTTTATAAAAGTTTTGAATCAAAATAACTAAACATGAATTCATTGAATGTGATTTGTTTATTTACAATTATTTTATCAGTTAATGCATTAAATTTTAGTAATGAAGATATAAATCAAGTGAAAAGTTCTCGTAATTTCAGAGGAAAGGTAGTACTGGTGACCGGATCCAGTTCTGGTATAGGGGAGGGAATCGTTAAACTATTCTCTATATTGGGCGCCAAAGTTGTGGTCACCGGTAGGAAAGCCGCTGAAGTCACACGAGTTGCCAAAGAAGCTCAAGAATTGTCACCAAAAAAGGAAAAGGTCTTCAGATATTATAATATTAAAAATGAATTAAATAACGTATTAATCAAATGACATGAATAGCCATTAGAAGTGGTGGCGGATGTGACCAAAAGTGATGACTTGAATAGACTGATGAGTGAAACGATCAAAACATTTGGACGATTGGATGTATTGGTAAACAACGCCGGGATCTTCAAAATGGCTGGAATTAAGGATAAGAGAAATTTCATGAAAGTCTTCGATCAGACAATTCAAGTGAATTTGAGGCCGTATTTAGAGTTAATTCAGTTAGCGATCCCTCACTTGGAGAAAACAAACGGCACTATAATCAGTACATCGAGTAGACTATCGGAGAATCCGGTACATTTGATAATACCTTACTCAATTTTAAATTTTTAAAAATAAATGTATTGAAGGTGCGAATGGGAATGGCTTATGGCATCTCGAAAGCCGGTGTGGATATGATGACCAAAACATTAGCCCTTGAATTGGGGCCAAAGATTAGAGTGAATGCCGTGAAGTGAGTACTTTATAATCTATACAAATGTCAAATTGTATGTATTTTTAATAGTTACTGTAATTAACCCTTCACTAAACTTATTATAGCCCGGGTCCAACTGAATCTAATCTGAATAGTAATACTGGTTTTGATCCCAATATTATGAATGCACTGATGGGTCAACTCATGGAGAATACACCACTTCGACGATTGGGTGAACCCTTAGATGTGGCCAAAGCCGTCGTATTCCTGGCCTCAAGTGATGCCCGATTTATAACCGGTGCCAACATTAACATTGATGGAGGCCTACAAGCATTTGCAGTTTAATTTTGAAATGTTTTATAATAATTTTCATTCATCTATAGTACAGTATAACTCTTTGCATTATAGTATATTTAATGAGGAATCATTTAGTATATCATTAAAAATAACATTTATTATTGAATATAATATTTATACAATTTTTAAATATTTTTATTTATACTGTATTTTTACTTTGATTTGTTATACAAAATTTGTATTTTCTACAATTTATTAACTCACTCACTTAATTTTAGTAACATTTTAATACTGAATCTCGAAATTTTCAATTCATTGGAATTTTATATAATGTAATTTAATATAGTCATATGAAGTCCGTAAATAAAAATTTGTTTTACATTATTAAATTTTTTAATAATTAATAAATTAAAATATAATTTATTATAAATATAGAAATATACTTTATATAAATTCAATATTATATAAATAAGAGGTCTAAAATCTTTAATCTAGAAAATTTGAAAAATACAAATGAGTTTTAAAAGTCTTTAGTTAGCCTTGTTTACAGTTATTTCAAAATAATTAAAATAATATTAAAACAACTTGCAAGATGTTTTCTAAGAAGGTGAGTTGTACACTGATTGAACTAGTCTGTTATTATATAATTATTTTGTAATTATTTACTATTTTTCAAATCTAATACAATTGTAAAAATGATACAAGTAACCATTAAATAAGAATTAAAATATCGTTAATTGATAGTAAATGTCTACAAACAATACATAATGAATCTAAACACTGAAAATTTAATCATAGACACAATGTTTAATTGTTTAATGATTGACTTTTGCGTACCCACATTCATCATGTAACTTAATTAAAACATTGAACATTTCTTTACGATTATAACTTTATAACTTTTATACCTGAATTACAAACACAAATGTTTTTAAATGATTACAATATTTAGACATAAACTTTAATGATTTCAAACTTTTGTGGTTTTCGCTTATTCTGACGAAAATTATTATAAATAATGGCACCAATTATGATAATAATAGCCAAGATTGCGATGATCAGGATCATCAACTCATACCATAAGACGCGGCACTGGAACAGTAGGCCATCCCTGACAAAGTCGTCGCACTCCTCGCCCTGCATAACATTTTGAGTCTCAATAGACGAGTCAATGACGGCCAACAGCTCGTTATCATCGCACAGATCCCGTGCCCCTAGGATCACACAATACATGTAATCCCATAGAGCACAGCAAAAGGTGCCGTGATTTAACCGGTTTTTACCCAAATCTAACTCTCCATCAAATTGCCACATATCCTGTGCGGAGTCCATACAGGGCTTGTGGTAGTCTTTAATCAGATCTGCACTACAATTCAAATTTGTAGGTATATCCCATCTCTTGTCTTTATTGGCGTAAATATCAATACTTGAATCCAAACATTCAATTGTATGTAATGTAAAAAACACACAAATTATTAATTTTCTCA